TGTGCTTCTGGCACTAGTAGCCTATCAGGACCACCACGAAGGAGATTAAGATTAACTGATGGACCAAGTATGGCAGATGTTATACAAGTCTAGAGCTACATATTCCCACGCCAATTATAGCTTATTATCATGGCAGCAAGTTGCCAGTTCAACAAGCAAAGTATCATTCCATGCACACAGAATGGACGGAAAGTGTAGGGATACTGATAGTTTCCTCCTCAACGAGAACCCAAACAGATGACGGCGCTTGCCATAGAAGAGAATTCATAATAATTCGACAAGCATGAGTGTGTCGGCCCCTTTCCAGTAGGCTTGTTGACCAGCGAAAATGCAAATCGTCGGCCCGTAAAGTTAGATTGCAAACTCTAGCTCGTTTTCTATTTGTGACTGTAGTTCCCTAATTAAATATTTCCGACAATAAGTTGCGACCACGAAAGGGCATGCGGAATAATAGAGGCTTTTCCATAACTTAGATTAAATAAAATGTGAAGGGATATATAAGAAAAGTTGAACCGCCAAGTAAAAGCATGTACAGATTTGGTGGCAGAATAGAAGATGCACTTTTGTTTGAGTGATCACTGAATGGGTCATCGGTTCATGCTAGACTATATGCGCTTTCACAGCTGCCGCACTTGTTGCACTTCGCTAACAGCAGAAAGAAACGATGTACGGTGCAGAAATTCCACTGGTAAGGACGAAATCAACCATATCAAGACAGAGAACAGGCGCATAATAAGGGATACAAAGAGGTCTATTACCATACACTGTGTTGCTGAATCAACGAGTGGGTTCGGCCTCAAGTGCCAAGAAGTTAAATCGACATTTCGAACCTGGTGTGTGGTTACCACAGCGCTCGAACCAACCATCTTTGACCATAACAGCCTTTGATGCGTAAACACAGGGACAAGTGCTGAAATATGACATACGCTAAGGAGATGGATAGAAATGTTTCACAAAAACAACGAACCCATTGTTTTGGTGAAAAAATCCTGTGAGTTCAAAAGGACAAAACATTTCTTTGTTTCGCATACCTACCGAGTCACACCCCAACCCAAAAGAGCTATAGATATCAAAACGACACACCGGCGATGATAAGGTATACAGACTCGATACTATGGGTGTCACCATCATCATCGATATCGTCATAGAAAGCACAATATCAGTTTTCGACACTGATGCTTCGCTGTCTTAAAACCATATTTTATTTAAAAACCTTATCGTGAAGAGAAGAATAAAAGTGGATGAGGAAAGGAGTTGGTGTTAGACTTAAACTGGATTTGCCACTGTACGAAAGAATAAAATGATTCTGAAAATGAACACCAAACTGAAGAGTTCGAACCAGAGTCGGCTGTTTCGTGAAAAATGTACCGGGATCATCAGAATTAATTTTTACATACGATGCACATGTAAGCGGTATCTTTCTGAAATTGGATCCTGACTTCAGTCGATGGACAGAAACCCGCGGTCTTCAAACTTTCCAGGACAGTTGGAAACTTTTCATGCTTTTGTGTATTTGAAAAAGTCGTTATTCTCACCACTCGAAAGTGTTGCATGGAAGATAGCAAAGGTTACGATCAAGTGAAAAGAGTGTAAATGATCAGTACGAACCGTGACTGTCAACCGAGTGGTGGGTGTACCCGTGGCTTGGTTAGATCAGCAAAGCATGAATTCTCGTTGAATGACTTAACACTCCAGCTACGTGTGGATGGATCAAGAATTCTTCATAGTAGTCTCAGGAGTTCACCGTCGAGAAATGAATGCCTTGAACCTAATCGAACAGATTAGCATCAAGGTCTAATCCATGTCAAATATGCTGAATGATTTTTTCCAGAGATGTCTCTGAAAGACTGGTTACCAATGAAGTGTTCCATTGTATGCGAACTGTTCACTTCACCGGTCTGCCATGAATCGGAGAGAGGATGAATGGTACGTTTTTCTCAGATCAAGATGCACAGTGGAACTTTTGTGATGACCTTTCCGGCTGGATGCCGTTGCTATCGACCGATTTCACCTTCACAACATTTTCGTAAAGTGGCTTTTTCCACTAATTCTAGACCGTTCTGTACACAATCACATACCTCATTTGTCTACGTCAAGTATCCATTAGCTCCACTGTTCAATAGCTGCCCTCGTTCAACTGCCCATACACTTTTCCCCATATATACTTTTGGGTGCATTGTGTAGATCAAAACAGCAGAAGCAATGTCTAATATGACAGTACCAGGCGTGGTATTTTTCGAATAAAGGTGTTGCTTGGATGGTTTGTCTCAGTAAGCTCAGCAGTGGCTGATGTGGATACTTGCGGAAGTTGTGGAAATCACATTCACAGTGTTATCATTAAAGCAGTCCTTCTTCTGCTTAACACAGTTATTCGGATGAGTCCTCACCAAAAGGCTGAAACACCGGACTCCTGTTTCGCTGTGTTCAAAGCCTATCAGCAGCGCCAGGACTGGAATTCTGAACGGCTAATACGTGAAGCAAGCGTGTTATCCGCACCCACCAGAGCACGCTGGACTCACCTGAACCACTACGCCTGAGAAGGTGAATATAATCACGATAATATAATATATATATAACATAATATAATATAATATAATATAATATAATATAATATAATACGATATAATATAATATAATATAATATAATATAATATAATATAATATAATACAATCCAGCGATGCAGCTGGTTTATCCAACACCTACGATGACCCGGCAGATGTTTTGGTTGTGTTCATCGACTGACTGGTTGTCGGCGCTTCCAAGAGAGATAGCGCCACGTACGTAAGAAACTTGCTGCACAATTTTTGATCGGTTTTGGGTAATGGTGAGATCTGTAGAATTCGCATTGAAATCACTGTCCCTTGAGCAGTCTTCCTTATGTTTTGGCACAGTGACTCTGGTGAGTCCACAATGGCACTCAGATTAAAGACCAATACAATCACCTAATGAAAGTAAGTTTTGATATCGCAAACCGCGAATCTCACAAAAATCAAGGAAGTTAGGAGGGATTTGAACAGTGACTCATTTCCAACAGAGCTGAAACAAGGGTAGAGTGTCGCTCCGCTTCACTTTCAGCAGACAATCTTCATTGAAAATTCCGAAATCTCCTCAGGCCAGCGACAAATTAATGAGGGTAGATGTCCTCAAAAATTCATGGTATCTGGTGCGCCCTGAGTGGACGAAGCAGGCAGACTAACTAGTGATGAACCGCTTTCTAGGTCGAAAATTTTAGATTAAAACAACAACCCAGTTGTTCAACAAACACGGATTTATCAAGTTGATGAGTTCGCTTTTCACTGTGTGGACCGCTTGAACGTCATGCCGTTCAAAATAACGGCGCGAAGCGCGTGAAATCTAAGAGCTCGGAAGTTAGAATTCAAGAAAACCGGTTGCTCTGCGACAGACTCCCATTTGGTTGAACGAATATCTTCATCGAGTTGCTAACCATCAGTGTTCATTCACGGCCACTACGTTTTCTGCTACACAGATGTCTGGTCAGTTGGTAAAAAGAGACGTCTGAACAGAGCAGCCGTGTTGAGGCATGAGCCTGATCACCTAACTGTGTGTACGGCTTCCTGCGGATGTGCTCGAACGATGGACTGAATTCTACACCTCAGATCCCCCAGAAAACTGACTGCAGATGAGTAACAGACGTGAAATGCACACGTGTATATTCTTAAGAAAGGTTAAGTGAATGATTTCAAATATAAATGGACATTAAGGGATTCCCACAGTGATGGCCCAGGAAACGTTCCACCAATCTGAGTCAAATATTGATGACTACTGACAGAGTATTCAGTAGAGTTGAGAATACAGGGCACTTTGTACTAACATGCTGACTCTCAAAAGGTGCTCAGAGACAACCATTTAGGCAATCCTCCAATGGACAGGGGGAAACTGCTTATGCAGATCAATTAATAGCACAAAGTATTGCAGAGCAGCCAAGTGTCATATTACCGGATTCGCTCACTGGTGGAAACCATTCACGACTGAACGGAAAGCCACCTGATGAGCGTTCCCATCTGCCATGTATCCAAGTTAAAAAGATCACATGCCGCAAAAGTATAATTTCTCGATGTAGATACGACGGAACAGCAGAACACCCCTGTTGCATGAAGTCTAATTCGAACGAATTAGTATTCCCAAAAGGTGGCTGTATCGATCTTTCACGATGTGTTTAGTGAGTCAGAGATTTCAGAGATGGAGTACCGGCATGCAGTGTCTGTGTGGGACAAAAAGAATCCTGTGTCGGTCACACACTACCTGTTCTGGTATGTGCTTTTAGACATACCTGAGATATGTGGCACACTAGAGAGTGGAAAATGTGGGTGGCCTGAACCATTCACTCAATTTCAGCGCACAGTTTATCTCAGCCTAGTTACTATCCATCGGGGAGTTTGCCACAAGGTTTACACCAAGCTCTAGGGAGCAGTAATGGTAACTCAGTTTACAACTCATCTCTACAATTCGGCGTACAATATGAATAATGGTACGAACGTGCGTACCACTCTAGCAAGAAATACTTGACAGCATATTAAGTGGTGGCCCCTCTAATTTAACTGAAACTAGTGAAGTCAGGATGTTAGAAGACACTGCCTCCGCAAATAGCAAATGAAGCCGGGGAAGTTGGTAGCGGTTTTGTAGGTCTCATTAGATCAGCCACGCTTGCATGGTACGTTTTTTGATGGCATAACAAAACTCAAATGACGTGATAGAATCGTTTGAAGCCAGGATTCTGCGGCCAAACGAATGGAAACGATATGGGGTATGGAACAGATTTGCAATGCGCTAATAATGAAGCCACACACTGCTTCTGCATTTGAGCTTCTGCATTATATCCATCAATCACTTAACGTACAAAATCGGTCGAACAAATACGTTTCCGTTCTTCACACTGATTAAATGCATCATACACTTCATCACTGGGGCACATACACCATAGTGTTTACCGTTCCAACCGTATAACTGCTTCTGTCAATATGGCTAATGTTTCTACCAGAGTACAAAGATTCCCCAATTGCCGTTTATGCCCACACAAGAACCGAGAGACAAAGCCTAATACGAGAGTTGGCCGGTTTGGGAAAGAAAAAACAAACCCAAATCGAAGCGAAACAATCCGAACACGATAAAGCAGGTAATGAGGAAAAATTACATTGCTTCGAATTCTGTGATATTCGGTTATCCATTGTGTAGACACAATCAGTGAAGAGCACCGGTTCCTAAGTGCTTAAAGAGTGAATCAAATGGTCCTGTCACAAGTACTTCCTAACTGAAAATGGAAGAATGCTTCCAAACAGAGCGACTTCAGAGGATAGGACCAATTTTTAGCACTCAAAAGTGTAGAGTATGACAGGAGGATTCTTCGAAGTAGCCGATATCACCCACAGCTTGAGTCCAACATACTTTCCAGCCTTGTCAAGATGCTATGAATTCCACTTATTCTGAAAACGTCATGTTCAATAAATGTATGTTCATCACCCTCTCACAACCAGACCACACCTGGTTCTCATTCCAACATCACGCCAAACGAATGCAGAACACGTAAAGCAATTACTTTGACCATACGCTATGACGTTAGGCATCAGTTCATCCGCTTGTCTTTGAGGTAGCCACACTGAGAAGAGTGAGATAATGCATTTCATTATAGTTGCACAGAAACTGCTTAGACTTTTGCTATGGAGAGTCCACGATTGGGAGTACAGGCAGCCAATCAAGAGAACATGCTCAGCATTTGTGGGGACCACTTTGTATTCATCCATTTCCTCGGTGCTTTGCTCAAACGAATGACAAATCAGAACATCTACTGCCCAGTTCATACCGAAAGCCATTGGAAACAGGACTCAGCAGACAATCAGGAGAATAAGTAATTTGATACTAATATCATTAAAATGCGAGGTGTGAACCTTTGCTTTCTGTTTCTTCAACACAGAAGCTTGTTACATCGGAAACGCGTTCGGGTTGAGCGCGAAGTGGTTTTTATAAAAACAGTAGTTCCCCAGGTTATTAGCCGAAATGGAAGTTCTCTTGTGCGTGACGGGTGACGCTAACAAGGCTTATGGGATGGCGGTTGCAATCACAGGATGAGGTTCCTTAGGGAGAACCTCAGGTACTGTATGGGGATAGCATTCGACAGGATGTCAAGGTTCGAGAGTTTTCTATAGTGTTAAGCATTCGATACATTACTCGCCAAAAGCTATGACTGGTTTCTTCCTGCGGCTTGCCGCACATGATACTGACACGTTGACCTTAAACGTACGAGCCCTCTCCGGTTCCCCAGTGTTTCAGTCTCTGAATGACAATGAATAAACATCGCTTCGAATGACGAAAAACCGAATGGCGTTTGTTTTTCAGTATTGGTAGACATAACACAACCAGCGTGTCCATGCTTCCGGAAAGGTACCTAAGGTTAGTACGTTAACCCTGCGGTTGTTTGCCAAAAGCCAGACCGATTTCTTAGAAGGACATTAGTTAAACGGACAACTAAGCTCCGTTTTCTCAACGTTTACATATGACTAAATACCATTAGGCTGTTGTGGTCAGGAATCCACGGACAAGCACTGCTGGGTGCGTAAACTGTGACGCACTGATGGCTCGAAACCTAGTTAACTCAGTTGACTCGGATGTGCAGTAACCTGATGTGTGAAGTAGGACAGGAGATTGGTAATGCTGAGCTCATGCTCACAGTACAATTCACGAAGAGAAGCTAAAGTACCTTCGATTGACCCCTGACACAGGGATGAGCTGTTAGATGACGTCCAATATCCGTTCAGCAATGAGCGATCTTTCGAGTCCTAAGGAAAACAGGGTACCAGGAGGTGCCCCTTAAAGTCAAGTAGAACTTCAGCTACAACTCTTGCCAGTTTGAGAGATGGAAAACCTGAGGTGGGAACCGTTCCTTACGGGCGGTTTTTAGAATGGCTATGCAAAAATCCACGGTCCCCTCTCAACGATCTCTCTCCACTTTACTTGGTACCAGGAGAGAATTGAAGATGATTGGACTATTCCGAGCCGACCAGGATGGGCGGCCATTTCAACGACCAGCATCTGGACCCCACATTGGCGCCCTCAAATTACCTGCAGACCCCGTTCTTGATGACTAGCAGACATTATAAAGATGATGCAAAACACAGTCGAAAATTCCACAGAAGCAATTAGGATGTTAACAAACGTCATTTAGCTCAACGAATAACTAGAGAAATCCGCTTCAAAGCAATAACCAGTGCTTCTGATGAAGAGTACGGTACAAGGTGCAACACTTTTTAGTTAAAACACGGTTAAATGTTGTTGAATCTCCTTCTTCCATTTTTCAAGCAATTTTCACGTCTTTCGCACTACTGCTGACCATAGGCATTTCCTTCCAAACAGAGGACAAAAACCCAACTTTCTGCGGTGGCTTCCTTCAGACGTATTATTTTAGCTAATCGTTTCTCCTACGAATACCTAGCACGCTTTTGAAAATCATTCAGCTGTAGCACCCTTTCGGAGACTAAATGCCATACCACCATATGGAACCACGAGGGCTGGGATACTGCCAGGTTGCCCAGGCCTAAACAAAAGAGGTCGAGAGGTAGAAGTCGGATTTGGACCACGGACCTTCCGGTCAATAAATTCGCTGAGCCATCTCGCCTCACGCTTCATGTGTCTGACCTAACATTTTCGACTGTGTCGGTATGCTGAGTGACTTAATCTGATGTAATCATGCCCCAGATAGTCCATCCGTTCCACTTCTAACTTGGGACGATGCGAAAAGGAAGCAATTTAACATACTTTTTCCCACTTTAAAATGATTCATTTACTTCTCCTATAAGTGTAAAAAGTTACACATAAGGCAAATGCCAATATTCAGGAAAATCGACTGATCAATTTTTGGAAATAATCGATTTAATCTGATGATAACGAAGACTATGTGACATGAGCGCACTTACGAGAGGGAAGCAGTGCGAAACTACGTTGTCCGGGGGAACGCAAGCACCAAATCCGAATGCCGGAAACAAATTGTCGCTACGAATGAGAGAAAAATAGCGGCAAAAACAGAGTAAAATAGAGAATAAAACGGGGGAAAATTGTAGCTGCTATGGTCCGTTTAATTTGCTTAAAAACATGTGTTCATGCGTGATGTGCAGAAAAATGGGGATGCGAACTAATGAACTGCTGCTGAATAAAATGTCCCTCGGCTGAACGGCACACAGCTAAAAGTTTGATTGAGGGTCTGGGGTTGCCCAACTGGTATGGAGCATGTTAGTGTTGGTTGATACGAAATTCCATCTTCAGCAGACAAGGATGACTGACGCTTGTTGCCACCAACCATTTGTGTGGGAAAGGCGTAAAATAAAAAGCAGGATTATGCTGTGAACTATTATGCTAACAATCCATGCTGTTTAGAGAAAACACAAGGAACAATACTATTCCAGCAACAAATTCTATAATGAAGCAGAGTTTCGTAATGCACTACTCACAATGTTTTTGAAAATTCGTCGACAATCCATGACCGGTTTCGCCCTTCTTTGGGCTCATCCGGTAGGTCCAGTACCCGAGTTTCCGTCAACCTTATGTTCTACTTGAAACTAAATTGCACGAAATCAGCGAAATACACTCATTTGCCTGGAAACATCACAAACGAGAGATTCAGTTGGGTTCCAGGTGAGTCTCTCGCAAAACCAAATTAGTTTGCCAATGAGTGTATTTCGCTGAAGTAGACTTTCCCCTACCAGACACTTTCACGATTAGGCGAGATGATTGGTAGTCATCTAAAATTGAGATGAAATGCCGGCTGCAGAAAACATCTACCCGTTTATGGAGATCCATGCTGGGAACATAGCAATATTTAAGGAATAGAATAGAGAAGAAAGAGATTCGGTCAAATTTTGAAATGAGATGTCTGATCATACACTGTATAAAGGAAAATTAAATCGAACGACTAGTCGCCGGCTTCCAAACCTACCCAGGAACCGACTTCGTGTCAAACCTACACATCAGGTCGAAGCTCATTTCATCCTGGGCTAAAAGCTGTAACTCCCGTGTAATGTACCGGAGTATTGGTAGCTTGAACACGTTTACTGTAAGTTGATTACGTGGCTGTTGAAGTGTTCACGGAGCTCGGTAACTAGCTTATAAATGCGTCATCACCAGTCGAGGGATCATCAGTGCACGGTTGCCTGTGTACCTCATTTTGATAACTAACGTTGCGTTCGGTTAGTTGGAGCGTACCTTTCTCCAAATCCCAGTGATTTGTCTCGATGTGTGCTACGCTGTGCTCTGTATTACTTGCATTCGACTGATGCGTTGAGTGGCTTCTATCCGATAAACTTTGTTCCCGTTCTGATTTTTCAGTTTAAAGATTTCTGTTGCCTTGTGGTCTGCGTTCCTTTCAGTCTCTTGGTTCTTATGACGGATTTTGCTTTTAGTGGTCATTATTTAATGTTGTCGGTCCGTATTCAAACTGCATTGCGTCAATATCCGATTACCCGGTGTTTGCTTGGCTAGTTGCCCTTCTCTGTTTGATATAGTTGTTCTCATGCTGTAATGGCTCCTAGATTTCGACTGGTACCGAACGTCTTTCTGTGTTAAGCAATTCTCTTTCCTTAGTTTGTTGTTTTGACTTCTTGTTCGAATATTTGAAATTGGATCCGCATACTCCTTCTTTACGTGTCTCATTCTGTTTCTTGTGCAATTTCGAGCTTTGTGATCGTGGAGCATTTGTCCTTAGCGATTGGTAGGCATGGTCAACTTCAATATTTGTTGATGGCTTTTGTGGTCCAGTACCACGCTTCCATGAATTAACTCTCTTCCTTTGTTATTGCTTGGGCTAGACTGAGGAAGGTGTTTCAATGGAATTAGTGTCCATCCTCACTTTCGTACATAGATACGAGTGAAAATCGATAGCCGATTTAACAGCAAGCTTGCGTTTTTTGTTTAACCCCATAGGTAATTTGATAACCTTCCTGTCTGTCCCACGTAGCGTTCATCACAACCTTTGGATTGAACCTTGTACATGATGTTGATCCTCATCACTGACCAGTTTCCCTTCGGTTTGATAGTGCACTCGCATTGTGCTCACCGGTTTGTAGGACACTGTTCCCTTATGTTGCCGTCATTTCCGAGATTCTTTTTATGCACAGGAGTGTGATTTATCTGTCCTCTTTTTGTGTTGTTCAGTTAGTTTAGCTGCATTCATTACGTGGGCGACACTTGCCGTTATCAAACAGAATAAATGAAAGCGAAAAACTGACCATTAAACAATGTATGATAATGCCTCCTCGATTGGTGGCGAAACTTTTGCGAACCACTTGCCATAATCAGGCGAACAAATCATGTCATCTGATCATCCCGTTTGAGAACTTTATCGACCAACTTGTAGGTCTAGGACCCATATTTCCTGAAGATGAGAGTTGAGCTGAAGCAAAAATGACAAACCTGAGCGCCCTTAATCAGGATCAGTAAAGAAACCCACAGGAATTGAGGAAAGGAGAGGACACTATGATGCTTTAACCAGACAAAAGTCTGGTACTCCCATTGAAGAAACGGGCAACATTTAAAAAGACGACGTCTTGTCTGAAGAATCGAAGTTCTTTACAGACAACCAGACGATGTGGTTTGATATAAGAAGAGATTACCTGTGAATTACATATTATTTCACGACATGGGATTACCTACCAAAATGAAATTAACCATACTGAACCGAACGGTTCTCCGTGTCGAAGTCATGTGGTATAAATTGGGTTTATGAATTGATTCGACCAACGCTGGCCGTAAATGACTGGATAAATGTTTATTCAAAAACGATAAAACCTCAGCTTAATTGAGATCATTTGCTGATTACCTACGAAGATTTTCCGTAAACTGGGAAACCCGACATTTCAAACGTTCGACATTTAGCCTTTATTTACAAACGTCCCTCACACTGGAAATGTCAATGTGAATTTTTACCGTTCCACCCATATTTTATTCTTCTACCCATCCCATTTATCTAGATATGTACACAGAATATCAAACGTTTCAAGCAATTTGATAGAGTTATACTCGATACGAACGAATACGTTATAGGGTCGGGAATATATGCAGTTCGGTTACACTGGACGATCCAGAAAGCACCCCGCGCGTATTCTGAACCATTTCACCGAGTACAACCAAATCATAGACGTCACCAAAGAATCAATCATAACGGCTGAAAAATTAGCTATTTTTGATTTACCATACATCCGTTACAGCATGCTCCAATTATTCTTTCTTGTAGCACACGCCCATAATGCTTCACCACTGTGACAGCTTACAAGGACACTGGTAAAGCCGTCTATGAAAACACCAAACTCAGTTCCACCAGGAAGTAGCTACAGGGGTCAATCACCTGCAGTTACCAGAAAAGAGTATCTGCGCCAAATGGAATGCCAGAACTGTTAAACGAACTGCGATCTGGTGTGACCAGAATCGGTTCTAAGGTCGTATTTCCAAGCATGATTCAAGGTAGAGCTACAATCATCAGATAAAGTCGTTACGAGGTATAGCCAATCAAAGTGACCCCAATCTCTTGAACCGATACTGATCAGTCGCTGTAAGCCGCTGTTTTTCCATCAGAAAGACCTTATGGTAGCTTGATGTTTGCATTGGTGTTATTGAACGAATTACTGGAAAAGACATCCCCGATAGGCCTTACGCATTCTGAGTCATTTTTCAGTCGTTCGTGGCTGTAGAGTTTGCAGGAAGATAAAATTCAACAGGTGCATTGTTCTGTTCGCATTCTTCAAACAGCTATTCGAACAAAACTTATCGGGCCTTCTCTTTGACTGCTTAGCATATTGTCTGATTCTGTTGTTTATAGTGAAGATGTAAGGGAAGATGCATGCAAAGAACGCGATTCCACTGTCGGCAATCAAACCACTCTACCAAAAACCGACCGTCCAGCAAATATAAGTGTATCCAAGCTTTTCACAATCAGTCGAAGTAGCATGAAGGAGAGAGACTCAGAAGAGGGAACAGTTTACAACTAAACAACACACAGACCTTGTTAAGCATCCATCACTCTGTATTCGAAGACTGGTTATTCACGATGCTGGTCAGCGATAAGTAGCGTCAGATAGCTGGCAACGGTGATAATTCTCAATAAGGGTCACGTAGTTGCAGAGTACTCCTTCGACTGTCACCAGAGACTGACGTTACTTGCTAGAGAAATAAGCAAACTTGCGACTGTCCGTAACTTGCCCTCGAAATGCAGTGTTTAAAAAGACGCCACTCGTGGATTTCGGGAAAGGTGCGATTGGCACGTTGCATACAGTATGGCTAGGTGAACAAACACCCATTTTTTCAAGACTTTATTAGGTCAAGTAGTGAAGGAAACCTGTACGTGCAGACTTTCCATTAAATAACCAGAGATTGTGGGGTAGCGCCTCGAAACACAAGCAGAATCGGCTCAACCTCGAATTGAGAATATTTGCCACAAAGCGAGTAACACTACAACTGGCGTGAGCAGTCATAGCCGAAACAGCCCCAAGAAATAAAAATACACACTGGTTTGTTCTTGAACGCTCAGGGAGTTTACAGGGTTCTAAGCCGTCCGGTCTGTTCTCCTTCCAAAAGCCCAAAATATCAGTCCAACAAATAAATATTCTGTTTTGCGGGAGACGATCACTTTTTTAACGTAGTGGCACAAAATCATCGTCCCGATAGTAGTGAAAGGCGAACACATTTGGGTGAAGAATCTGCAAGGTCGATTTGTAAGTAGTTACTTTGGGTCTTGTGGGAAGCTTTTATGGCTGAAAGTTTGCACATGCTATTGCTGTTTGGGAAATGGAGAATGGATGCATATGCATAAAGTTTCCCTCGCTTCTTAAAGGAAACTAATCACAAAGTTGCTGAAAACTCTTCGACAGCCCACGACCGGCTTCGACCTTCTTGGAGCTCATCGGGTAGACGCAGTTCTCGAGTTTCCGTCAAACTCATGTTCTACGTGAACCGAAATTGGACAAATACACTCAATTGTACGCGACTGCCTTGAAGAATCCAGGGTAGATTCTGTGTCTTATGGAGGGTGGCCAAGTGCTGGGCCGATGGGGAAACTTACGTGGATTTGGGTCTAGCTTAAGGTTTGGTTCTTCTAGTTCGGTTCACGTGATGATCCCTCTTGAACGTCTTCTGCACTTTCTGTCCATCTGTGTGGATGAGCTAATGCTACGATAGTTGCATAAGAGGGATTCTGTGAACTGCGGTCAGATTGGAATGATTCTACGTGGATTGACAACCACACAGTTACGTGTCAATTCGGCTTATCTAAGTCCGCTTTCAGGCTGTGAGCCTCGGTTACGCCATCATTCAATTTTTTTTTGGGAACACTGACGGAAATTCCGGATTGTTCTGGAGATTTTCGCCGCACTACATAACTCTCCACTTTTTTCTATGTAACCTATTAGATTTCAGTGTGCTAAACGCTCATATGATCAAAATGGAACAGCACTCATGAAAGGAGAGAGTGACCACGTAGCTCTATATGTACTGATGATAGGAAACAGAAAACCAGCAGGAAAGATGCTCACTGTCAAACTGTAAACCAAATGAACTGTTCGGCTGTGGTATAACTGCTACAGTGAGGCAAGAAATAAACAACAAAGGGCTTATACTTCCAGCACTCACAAGATTAAACAGGAAAGAAATAAAGATCAGCCGGGAATTTCGGACCCCCCAGTTTAGCCACTGGGATCACTGAACTTCTAAGCTAGCGAAAGCTCGTTGATCAAACAAAGCACCACTATTAGTCACACTGATGATAGGAGAACGGGAAGCGTTAGGTTTATATGAACGGAATGGTCAGTTTAGTGGTTCTGTGATGATTCTACCTAAACATGAGGTGGTCTATGTGCAGCACATTCAGCTGAAGAACATCATGAACGATGGATTCAGCTGGGTTTCATGCGAGTCTCCAGTGAAAAGCAAACTGGTACACAAATGAGTGTATTTGTCGTATACTAACTTTTCTTGTGAATAATCCATTTTGCTGAAAGAGAACGCTCAATATTGCTGACAGTATACCTAAACTTATTGTACGCAAGCAGGTTTGGGAATAATTGTACGTAGCCGTGGTTACGTATGCACTCTTGCCAAAATTTGATCCCGTGATAGGGTATACACTGTTCGCCAAGAAAAGACACAAGCTTTCCAACATTATTATGCACAGCTGGAAGCTTCTGCCGAAGCCCTTTTGTGACTTTTGATAGTTGTACTACGAGTTTACTGACCGTGAAGCACGACACACAAGCCAGAGCATGTCCGTCACATATTCCAGCAGATTGCTCCAAGTCAGGTCACTACGTGCTTTCTCATCACGCCACTCAGCAACTTAGCTGTTAAGGTTGGGCGCCGTGTCTAGGTAGGCGATAGGACGAGAAGGTGCACGAAAACCTGGTTGGAATCGATCAGTCAAATCGTGTCAGGTAAAAACTTTGACGTGTTTCAAGGCTCGTAGTTTGAAAGTACCAGTAGTCTGGTACGACGAGACCGCAGATGGTCCTCAGTAATGAATAGGGGACAAGATACATCCTCGTAGAGACTTCCAAACCGTTGATGTAGTAAACGGTCTATGTGCATTCTTAGGCGAATGGTGTCGGAGCAGGCATCCAAGCAGTGCGACCGAGGGGAGAGACTGATGTAAGTTGCAGCATGACCGAATTGGCGCTATTCTTTCACACTTCTCTTGGATAAAAATACACGTTATGTACACTACGTTCAGATTCGAGAGTACAGCTCTGCATAGCCTCATCGGTGCGACACTTGAAAGCGAAGTAGAGTTAACATTCTTACGAATACGATAAAAGCGGGTCGTGCACACTTTTTTCAGAGAAATACACAGATTCGTCGCTTTCGACCCTACGTGCAGCTTGAAGGAGCGTAAAAGTGAAACGAACTGGGTAGCCTCGATGGAATTCATTCAATCTTCGTACGCAGCGATTTCCACACTTTACGGTAGAGTGAAAATCACTTCATAAGCATGCGCCTGCAGCACTGGAACGCGGGCATAATATGCGAATAGTTCAATAGTAAAGTAAGCACTATTTGCTTACACTCACCTGTCATAATCACTAATGACTTCGCCCACTGCTTGTAAAGCCATTGCATATTGAGAGGGATGATTAATTGTACTGTAGTGAAGCGTATCGGGAACTTGAGGACTTCCGTTACTGGCCGTGAAATCGATGGCTATGCAGCAACTCAACTCCGTCCTGGAATTACACAAAATGATACACGGAGAGAAAAGTAAACAAACAGCCATTTCTGTTCCTTCGGATAAAGTGAATAAATCACTGATACGAATAAAAAGGAAACCGAACAACAGAAGGGGACCAATGGATCACGTGTGAAGTGGAAAAAACGTTGACTGCTCGTCAGCTCTGAATTTGCAAAGGTGAAAGCAAAACTATCTCGTTCTATGCTTAACACGAACGACTGTCAAATAAAAAATTAACGGAGTCACGGTAGGGTAAATTGGAAAATGGATATCAACAATAATTGTACGAAGGGATAGGGTACAACTGCACTGTGACAGACCGAGAAATCGAAATGAGGGGATTTATTTCGATCGAACCGAGAGAAACCGGTGTTTTAATTTATTTATAAGTTGCGCATAAGGCGAGGGAAATTAGAAGAAAACAACGGTTTCTAAATCTGGGCTCAAACGACAGGGGGATAAAATATGCGTGTTTTTGAACAAAGAATGCAATGTATTTATGGACGGCGATACAAACTGAATGAAAACTATTGAAATTAATTACAGGGAAGTTGCCTCAAAGTTCACTGATTCGTCTTCCAGACCTAAGGCAAATTAAAGGGTAATGGATGCGTTTGTGATCTCTGAGACCCGTTTCATAGCAATGAACCTGTAGAATAATATCCTATCCTTAGCTTGATGAAAAGCAAAACACTCCGAGTACGGGAAATAAAACATCCCTGACCTACTCTATGATGTTGACAATCACTGCCGCACATAATCTGAATGGAATGAAAAACTTCGATGTCTGGATGATTGAGTAAACGAACGACTTGATTAGCGACTGACGCTATTGGGTATCTTCGGTCGTGCACGCATCCTACTCGTAGTATACTCGTGGAAATTTCGGTTTCAAATGCTGGGATCAAAAACCGTAGCTCTGTAAGCCCACCTGAAGAGTGTTCCCTACCATCCATCGGGCATTCATGAAGACTGCTCCCTACGGTGCACCTCACTGTGAAAGCAATAGCCGACTATTTAAACCAAAGCACCCCAGAGCAAGTATTAGTTTATTCGTGAGCCCCTCAGTCCTCACACAGAAAGTGTACCACTCAGAATACACTGAGTTTTTAAAGTATGCTCCCGTTTCTGGGTTAGTGAACCAGTAAACTGTTTAATCAATTTCGCAATTCATCCGCATAAATTTGCCCCCTGCTTGGACTACTCATACTAGTACATCATTTTCTGGATCCGTCTCAAGAGACTGTATTCTATCATACATGAAAAGTGTTAACTATCACCTAGAGAACCCCAGCCATTAGAAAGTTGATGGCGTGGTGATGGACGATTCACTAGTCAATTTGTCGATACCAAGGAATACAATGAAGCACTGCAGGATAATCGATCGACTGTGCAAGCATAAACATTATTCGCACAATATCTTTATCACTGAATGCGCCGGAACACAAACAAATGAGACGTTCGTGAACATAAACACCCATCTACCACGTAATTTGGCGTTTTCTGGGGATAAACCTGAGATTCAGCTGAATTCCCAGTTCGAAATATTCTGCAAGTAGATGCCATGCATTTCAGTTGCAATGATAGAATAAAATTCAACATAGATTTGACGCTAATTATTATGTTGATGGAAGGTCCTGGAGAGCTCACTACCGGTTTCACCCTTCTTGAACTTTACCAAGTTGGTCTAATCCTCAGATTCCCACTTACCGCACCTCGTAATGGAATACCAAACTCGACTTACGTGGAGATAACCAGTCACATAGGGCATCACTGGGAGACTCAATCGAAACCGAATCTGTCATATATGGTAACTAGTGGGGTGTTTAAATGTCTCACTGATGTTAGAAATAACTTCGTATCAAGGAAGACGATGTCTCCTTTTCGTCCACCCAACTCTCCATTTCATTTGAGAATTCAAAACAAATAACTCGATCGACTTTATGAACACTTCGGTCGCTGGACAGTCAGATGGGAGCACGAGCCACCCAGTCTGTCGTAAACTTATCTAGATTAGACATATCGTCACCTTTTATCCGCCATAACTGGCGCGTAAGGTAGTCCATAGAACCAGAAAGACCTGCGTGCCAGACGTAGGACAGAAAAGTGGTTGGGTTTAATTTGCATACACACAGAAAATCAGACATACTGGGGCGACAAAACACTTTAAAACATCGCGGGCCGAGTCACCAGCAAACTTTAAAATTGGTCAACAGTGGTCCGTCCTCAGCTTCGACTTAAAAGAACATCCGCAATCGCTAGCCAATAAGCATTTAAATCCAGTCTACAATCAGGCCTATGTGCCTTCAGATAAGCTTTGGTATGGTCAGGAAGAATGTTCATCAAATACTGTTGAAAAGAAAATGTCACAAAATAAAACGGTATCCTGTTCGACACTACATAATCGTGCCCTTCCCGGCTCTCATCTGCTCCAAAAAATCCCAAATGTACTCAGAAGTCCGAATTACGTACACAGCTGACAGCAAACAATCGTAGAAAGAAAAGGCAACTCACCCTCCTTGTACATAGTCCAGAAAGCTGTATACCTTCTCTATTTTAACCAGATTCAAGTGCAACTGAAATAACAGGTAAACAGAATGTTATTAGCGAGTGCTTCGTAAGGAAGGAACAAAATTATGAGACAGAGTCGCTCAGTGGTGTACAAAATGTGTACAAATCGTATAGAACCCACAATCTCAAGGACATAAGGTGAATCAAAGTTTGTCAAGGACGTTCACTGGAACTCTCTTTAAAACGTCAACCTCCAGATGTAAACTTTTGCTAGAATCTTGATTCCCCAACCCTACACGACGTTAGGTGTCCTGTTCGGGTTATGATGCGGGTAAGTACGTCAGAAAAGCTTA